ATCGGTATGCTTCGTTCAGTTAACGTGTTGCTCCTACCTCACTCCCCTCCCCGGTTGACGATAAACAAAGGGCTCATTAGTTTAGCAGAGTTATCACCTGCCCCAGAAGCGTCTTGATAAATTTGGCTGTTTATTCACTAAGATAATGATTTTTATTTGTACAATAGTCAGTATATTCTGTTTTTATTCCTTGGATTTATATATTTTAACCAGAAGAGGAGGACAATAACGAGGGACAGTAGGTAGGAGATACCCCAGGTGGGGAATGCCCCCAGGTAGAGTACCCCAGGTGGAATACCCAGTGGGAGTACACAGGTGGGAGATGCCCCAACAGGTGGAGACATCCCAGGTAGCCTTGGCTGTGAGTGCTGAGTGGAAGCGATTTATGGAGGTGGGCGCATAGTGAAAGAGTGGACGGACACTGCACCACACCACACCACCCACTGCACTGCACCACTGCACCACCACACCACACCACACTACACCACACACACACTACACACCACTACTGTTCCATAAAGTCCCCTTTATGTTTTGTGTTTACCAGATTCTCACCTTGAAATGTTACCACCAGGACAGCTAAATGATCTCTGCCATATCTACACAGGTGTGGGGTGCAGGGGCTCAGGTGTGCTGAGGCGTAAGAACTCAGGTGTGGAGGCGTGGGAACTCCAGGTGTGGGGGCGTAGGAACTCAGGTGTGGGGCGTGGGAATTCAGGTGTGAAATTAGCAGGAACTCAGGTGTGGGCGTGGGAACTCCAGGTGTGGAGCGTGGGGAACTCTCCAGTGTGGGGTGGCAGGAACTCTGGTGTGGGACAGGGAAAAGCTCAGGTGTGTAGGCACGTGAAAGACTCGACGTGGGCGTGGGAACTCAGCCAGCTGACATGGGCGTGTGGAACTCAGGTGGGGGCGGGGCCCAGGTGGTAGGCAGTGGGAATCAGGTGTGGGGGTGTGGGAACTCAGGTGTGGGGCAGTGCCAGGGGCGTGGAACCATGTGTGGGCGTGAGAACCAGTGTGGGGCGTAGGAACTCCAGGTGTGGGGGCGTGGGAACTCAGGTGTGGGGGCGTGGGAACTCAGGTGTGTAGGTGGGAACTCAGGTGTGGGCGTAGAACTCAGCAACCCCAGGTGTGGGGCGTGGGAAATCAGGTGTGGGATGAGGCTGGAAGAATAGAAAATGCTGTGTGTGACTCTCTCTCTCTCTCTCTCTCTCTCTCACTCTCTCTCTCTCCCACCACCACCTGCATCACCACCACAACACACCACTACCACCCCACCTCAGGTCCTGTTGTAAGTAAACACATACCAACAGCTGCCCACCTCACCCCTTCCACCAGCATACCCCTCGCCCATCCTCACTGCCCACGTTCTCCACCCCATACCTCCACCTGCCACGTTCCTCACCCCATACCTCACCTGCCCACGTTCCTCACCCCCATACCTCACCTGCCCACGCCTCACCCCCCCCTACGTTCCTCACCCCATCCCTCACCTGCCCACACATTCCTCACCCCGCCCCACCTGCCCACGTTCCTCACCCCACCTCACCACCACGTTCCTCACCCCCATACCTCACCACCACGTTCCTCACCCCCATACCTCACCTGCCCACGTTCCTCCACCCCCATGCCTCACCTGCCCACGTTCCTCACCCCATACCTCCACCTGCCCACGTTCCTCACCCCCCCATACCTCACCTGCCCACGTTCCTCACCCCCGCACCTCACACTGCCCATTTCCACTCCCCCATGCCTCACCTACCCACGTTCACTTCTATACCTCCACCTGCCCACGTTCCCTACCCCCATGCCTCACCTGCCCACGTTCCTCACCTCCCTACCTGCCCACCTCCCTCACCTCCACTCACATCCTGCACACCTCACCTCTCACCCCCATACCTCACCTGCATTCCCCTCACCCCATACCTCACCTGCCCACGTTCCTCCACCCCATACCTCCTGCCCATTCCTCACCTCCTCCTTGGTCAGGCTGACGTGGGACCAGGTGTCGTCAGGTGAGCTGGACCTGTACAGCAATGCATGCACACTATCTAACCTGCTACCAGCACACCCTCCCCCCTACCTCCTCACCCCCCACACACACACCCCTCAGCCAG